TTTAGAGAACACTTTAAAGGGAATTTTAATTAAAGGAAAAAAAAAAAATCATTAGCACTTACAAACACCATGCATTGGAATCAGGCTAAATACTGTCTTATATTTGATTTCATTGGTACACTGATAAATATCTCCCAAATCAAGTTTCTGTGCGCAAGCTTTGGAAACCTCACGTTCCAATGTGTTAATTCTCAAGGCTATAAATATTGCTGCAATCCTCAGGTAAATTTTATTCATCAGTTTATGAGCTCTAGGAGCTTCCCAGTGTGATGAAGCCATCAGGTGTTTCCACACGGGGTGTGGAGCTGCTGGCGTCACTTCACGCCATCCCCGGTGCCATTGCTCTGCACTGACACAAAGGGAGTGGTGCCCAGAGCTCTCTCCAGGAGGCTCTGTGTGTAGGTGGTCTGCATCTGCCACCTGAGAAATTTGAGCAGAATGGAGAACGCTGTGTCTGGGACAGCTCTAGAGTAGCTTTATGGCCTCTGGTTCTGTTTACAGCATGGTTTCTAGTGGGTCCTTTTGGTTTTGCCTTCCATCCACGTGCTTGGCAGCATGTTTATCCAGGTTTTGCACATTTGCGTGCCTGTTTGTGTTCATTGGTAAAAAAAGTATCAAAAACAGACTGAAAATATTTCTTTACAGACCACCTTATCATGCTGCTGTCCTCTTAAATTGAAACTGTCTTGCACTAGATGATAAAGTTGCTTTCAGAAGAAATGTATTTCTTACCAAACCATGCATTGACAATTGTGCTCAGCTTCACAAAAAGATAATTCTCTAATCCCAAGGTCAGTTTAAGCTGCCTCCCCAGTATACACACTTTCAGATTCCCTTTGAATTGCTTTTTATTTCCATGTCAAGACAAACATGTGAGTTTTCTAGTGCCAACAAAATATAGAAACATGGTCTGTATGTAGATTAGCTAAGGAGGATATTAGACTGAGTTGCCTTTTGGTAGGAAGACATCCTGGCATTTCTTTGAAAAACTAGAGATGTTTGAATAATCCTTATACTAACAGATGTCACCGCTGGGAATCTGTTTTACTTTTACAGCTCTTTGTTTGAGTATCTTTCTGGCATTTTTTGATATTTTGGAATGGGGTGTGGATGTGAGAGAAACTCAAACAAATCTATATTTTCTTTTACTTGATTTCTCCCAAATATATATTTTGATGAAAGTTTCACATAGTAATCAAGGGAAGAAAACCCATAAATTTTGCTATGGGTGTTCGTTTTGTGCAGAAGGGAGAGGACAAAAAAAACCCAACCAAGAATCCTTTCCTTTTGTTTCACACACGCTGCAAATGACTGTTTGCTGTTTTCCTGGTCCTGTGCAAGCCCTGGAAATGGGGGACAAGGGATCACAATGGGTCAAGGCAAATAGTTAGTCACACTCTCTCTTAGAATTGAACCCATTGTTCAAGCAAGGCAAGCAAGTTTTCCACTACTAATTTTGGTCTGCATTGGAAACCGTGGCCAGTGTGGTTGTGTGAATAAGGATTAGTAATGGTGAGTGGGCACGGGAGGTAGCTGAAGGGGTGGCATTTTTGTGCCTGTAAAAGCTGTAGTGGTTGCACATTTCTCCCCAAACTTAATATTTTTGCTATTTACCTCAGAATACTGCAGGATGACTTCACTGGGAAAAAAATATCACCGGAAATATCAACGGCATACGTGTCAGGAATGTCTTACAATTGACTGTCTCAGTAAAACACCAATGAGTAATTTTTAATGGAAATCTGGCCTTAAGGTAGAATTCAAGGAGATGTGTCCCTTCTCCTTACTGTTACCGATCTGCTTACAAGAAAATACGTTCAGGGTCTGGGTCTGACTTCCATTAAGGGAATGAGATAGCTACTGCTGAAGGAAAACACAGAGGGAAATGGGACACACAAAGAGTGTTTGCAGCTGGAGAAATATTGTTTGTGGTGCCTTTGGTGTAGGAAATAGGAGGAACTAATTTACATGTCAGAAATCTAAAAATTCTTAAAATGAGTTTCATGCCTGTGAAATGTGTAATGCAGGTATAAGACCTGTGAACACCTTTTGTCCTAATGCAACAGTGATGTTCAGTTCCTTGAGAGTGGATTTGAGGTCTGGTTGTGCTAAAAGCTGTACAAGAATATCTCAGTGCATGACAAGACCCAGCAGATGGGTATAAATAAAAAGAGAACAAGGAAATACTCTGGCAGCATTGCCCAGCACAACAACCTTATTCTCTGAACTCTTCCAATATCAGTGGCAGCACTGAGAAAAATAATGGCTGCCACTTTTCTAAGAAATGTGAGCGATGTTTTGAGTTTTTTTCCCATTGTCCTTGCAGTTTTTCACCTCTGTGCCTACTATTTTGCTTAAATTAAGTTAATCCAGAATTTGCAGTATTCTGCTACAAAATCAGTGCAAATAGTGAACTAGAGCACATACACTCCTTCCAATTAGTGGTTCCCTAAAATAGGACAAGTAGTTTCTTAGGTAATAAACAACCATTCTTTTGTATTTACACGTAATCTAAAATCAGGACAGAAAAACACAGGCAGTGCTTCAGATCCAGAGTAAGCTCACCATTACTTAAAGGCTGGCCAACCTCTAGACCACAAGCTCCACACTTCCTTATGGATGTTACCACAAGAAACTGCACATCTCCATTTTCTTGGCAGCAATGGCACAACAGGAACTGGATCCTTACAAATCTCTCTGACTTTATGTTCATTTAGCATCACAGTTTTAACGTGGGCAATCACATACATCCAGCTTCAAATGTGTTGCTGGCAGTGGCTGTTTCAGGAGGTCTGTGCAGAACTTGGAGCAGAGCTCTTCTCCCAGAGGTAAACTCACAAAATTAATCTTTCTCCTGTCCTGTGAATGTATCAGTCATGCCTGCATGCATAGAAAAAAAGTGTACTAATAGTTTCCACTTTTTGGAACAAAAAGCAACGATTTTTTTATTTAATTGTAAAGAAGAACAAGGAGTTTGCCCTACTATTAAAAATAGCACACATTAAAAAAGAAGGAGGAGTTGGTATTTTTTCTTATTTTACACAGTTTTTTCCTATATGGTTGTCAATATTTTGTTCATAATAATGGGTGGACCATCTCAGATAGGAGGGTTTAATCTGAGTTAATTAGAATTTACACTCTATTAGAAGTGCCAGAAAGCTTCAGTGCTCTGTAGGGAACCTGTCTCTGATGCAGTTTGATTGGTACCATCATTGCATAAATAATCTCTGAAAAGATTGCTGTCTCTAACACAGAATAAAAATGAGTAAGAGCTCTGACACTATTCTTTTGACAGTTTTACAAAAAAAGACAATCCAAAGATTTTTGCACAAAAATTATCTTTGTTTATACTGAACTTTTACTGGTGCAATTAAAGTAATGATTTATTTTTTTAGTAATACCTCTAGTAAATTATGGCAGGAAACCTAAAATTCCAGGATGAAAAAAATCTGGGAAACACTTCATTTTAATTTATATTAATTTTAGATTTATTCTGTTTTCACATGAAGGGCCCAATTCTGCCAACATATTGAAGCTTAGTAGCTGAGCTGCTGGTAAAATTCATCTTTATTTTAGAACAGGACAGACTCTGGTTCAGAATCTTAAACCGCGACCCTATTCCTGAAAGACAAAATCCAAGTCTGCCTGCCTGATTGTTTTTCCCAGTGCAGAAAAATGTGTGGGTGCTTTTAGGGAAGCCTGGATGCAGTTTGTAGTTTCAGCTTTACCTTTGCAGTTCAGCTAAGGCTCCCCTGAAGCTGCTGCAGGCGGATTCCCCACGCTTTCTGGCAGAGGCTCTTTGGCTGATGTTTGTTTCCTTATTAATGGCACACGGAGCCCTTGGGACGAGGCTGTCCCTGCGTGTCCCCTCTGGCTGGTGGCCCTGGCCCTGCCAGAGCCCTCCTGCCACCAGCACCGCTCCTGCACCGGGCCAACATCACCACCCTGCCAAATTTTAATTTCTGGAAGCTGACGCCGCTCCCAAATGATCCTGAGTAAGAAGCGCAGCTGCTGAGGACAGGCAGTACAAAAAGGGAGATATTCGAAAGCAGTTTGTAATAATTAAGGTGCCTGTTAACCTCCACAGCTTTAAATAACCTCGCAGTGGAACGTGGGCAGGCACATTCCTCTCCAGGTTGCCAAGCATCTGTGCACTGCAAACAACCGGCAGCCTTATACAGTTATTTGCTCTGGTTTATTGGTCACACTTTCACAGGAAAATCCTGCAGGTCTCTGCCTGCCCCAACCTTGCTGAGGGTGAGAGCTGCAGTGAGCTAAGCCAACAGCTCTGCTGCAGAAGTGAGAGCCTGCATTGCTTACATTTGATCTGCTCATTCACTGAAAAGCTGTAATACCTGTTCTGACATTTTGGTGCACTTATTTATCTGCTTCATCTTTACTGATTTTACCTTTTGCCAATACCCTTTTAGGTTTATTTGTTTTAGGAAACATAATCTGCGTTGTAAACACTCCTGGATTTGTAAATAGCTTTGCTGATAGGATTCCTTTTCACGGACCTGGTAATGGCATATTATACATTTTAGACTAACTATGAGATTTGAATTTGAGTTGTGTTGCCAGGACCAATGTAATAAAAGATACTCTTTCATTGTGATTAAAATCCTGTTACATTTCACTTACGCTTCTCTAGTTTCCCTTAGCACTGCTGCTTAGAAAAGGCAAAAAATCTATGCATCTGTCTGTCTGCATATTGTCAAGTCATGCCGTGTGCCTACTCTGAATAAAGCCACTGTCACAGGTCCTGTAATCAACATCAAGGCAGTAATGAATAGGAAAATCTTGTGATGATGATGACGATTAACAATAGGAAATGTAAATAATCTACAGTGCCTAAAGCTCACTTTTTTCTTGCAGAGTGGATTTGCAAGTGAGCTATAAACCTGATCCTTTTCTTATTGAGGTCAGCAGCAAAACTCCTGCTAATCCCAGCTGAAACAAAATCATTCTGCCAGCTAAATGTTTATAGAAATGTATATTACCTTCATGGAGATGTTCTCCCACTACAGCTTTTTGTATTACAGCCTCCAACTTCATCTAAAGCAGACATGACCTGAGGAATGAAATATTACAGATATCAAATAAAAGCTGTTATTCTGAAATAGCTAGCAATAAATTTTGTCAAGTAATCTACTGGCAAATGTTTAATACTCACAGATCCAAAAGAATCAGTAAATCCAGGGAGGGAAAGGCTGGGCACATCTGAGCACTTGTACTGGGAAGGAGCCGGCAGTGACTGACTGGTGCCAAGCCTGATAAAGGTGCACCTTTGGGGCATTATTTCCTTTGACAATGAGACTCTGTGTGAGTCTTACACTTCCTGGGGTTATTTTACACTCTTTTGCAAATACCCAAGTAGTGTGGAAGTCGTGTGGGAGTGGAGTAAAGAGGATTGAATTTTTGTAGGAAAAGGCTTTTCAGAGGAGACGGATGAATTTTTCCTGCAGGCTGTGGAATTGCATACTAAAGGAAGCGTTTGTGCTTTCTTATTTTTCCTTTTTTTTTTTTTTTTTTTTTTTTTTTTTTTTTTTTTTTTTTTTTTTTTTTTTTTTTTTTCTTCCCCCCTTCTAAATGTAGTGCTGGGCCTCAGGAGGCCCATGAACACACAGAGCTTCCTACTGAGGTTGTCACTTGACTGACAGCAAAAAGCTTCTGGGGAGATGGACGAGCATGAGTAGGTGGACAGAGAAAAATGGAGAATGAAAAGATAAAGTAAAAATAGAACCGAATGTTCATCCAAAATCACAGCCCTTTCAGGGGCTTAATGTAACTTACAAATGTTGTGTTTATGATTGGAAAAAACATAAAGCATCTCTGTATGTATAAGCATACATGTGTTTGAGACATTTGATATCCATTCAGTGTTCTGCTAGAAATTATATTTACTACAGAGATACATCCAAGACAACGCCCTTGTGTCAGTGCCCAATTATTTATACACTAATATATTCCCTCAGTGATATAAAATACGAGGAGAACAAATATTGACTGAGTAGGAAATACAATATTTCAGTCCTTACATTTCAAGACAATTTACAGTTTCTCAGAGAGTCTGTGTTTGTGTGTCCATGTGCCTGTTTGTCTGTACCACTCGAGTCCTGATCTCTAAATAATTCGGCTGGGGCTGACCTCTCTGCAGCAGACAGGATCAAACAATTAACACACTGTCATAATTATTACAATGTCTGCTGCAAGTGAATACAATTTCACCAAGGAACTGAGACAAGTACAAGCTCTGAGACAAATACCAGAGATGCTGGCTGTGCTTTATTGAGCTGCATTAAATTGAGCGTTTAAATGGTGTAAACTTGATGATGGTGCAAACATGATTAGTTCCCATCAAAGCCAAATCACTCCTGATAGTGAGTTACAGTAACATAAGTTGTCAGGTTGGCAGCAGTGCAGGCTGCTCAGGTAATAGGCATTTAAGACAAATATAACAGCTCCAACAGCTGTAACAAAATTTTAAGGAATAAATTTTGATGTCATATACTTTGTTGAAGGGTGGAGTTGTTGGCTGAAGCCGAGAACAGGATTTAGTCCAAGTATCAATGACATCTGTTAAAACCAAGCTGGGCTTTTAGGATTCGTTGAAATGACACAAAGTAAGGAAATTGTGATTATTTTGGCAAGACTTCTTAAAAAAACCCCCCACACTGGAGCCAAAATATAGTAGCTTTGGTAGGATTGCAAACATTTTATTTTATGACATTTGCAGGCCTTTTTTACATTGTCTGTGTTTATTTGACTTTTTAAAGAAAGTTGCATTAAAGTTGCATTAAAATTCAGAAAATTTTTTAAGGTTTCAAAACATTTTATATATTTTTAATGACGACTGACTCTTCTGGCATTGACACAAAAACAACTTTAATTAAAACAAGAAGACATTTTGATACTCCACCATTCCCATAAAGTTTATCCTGCCTAGTAGTAGATCTGTCAGAGGCATCAAAGATGTGAAGAGAACATTCAGATAGTTTTAATTGAAGACTGCCTATATTTCTGTGTAAATAAAAAAAATGGCACTAAACCTTTTCTTCCTTCTCATTAGGCCAAGAATTCTTGAAGATAATTAAAGTCAGGAAGTACAAGTTTTAACAGTTGCATTGACTGGGCTACACTGTTTTCTAACTCCCATTATCCAAGCAGCCGCTTAAAAGATTTATTTTCTATGGAAAGAGAAAAGCACGCCAGCTATCTTGGGAGGGTTATCTTTAAGGCTCTGCCAGTGGGAGCTCCAAAAGAAATGTTCAAGGCTAAAGAAAACAATCTGAGCCTCAGAAATAGGAACCTCATTGTAAATACTGTGTCACCAAACCTTCTTAACAGCAGTTTTAAGAGCCAAAAAATGCATCCTCCCAAGATCTTGACCTGAAATTAAACCAGGTGAAAGACACTCTATCTTTTAAGCAAGAAGTGTCAGTAAGGCCGTATTTGTATTATATTTCAGAGATATGTGGATGTGGGGAAACGTAGAGTGATTTAAAGAGAAAACAGCAGATTCTGAGCAGGCGTGTTTCCCGATGCACAGAATTGTTACTCAAACTTTAAGTCGCATTCTAAATATTTTTTTAGCTAATCGAGCCCGTAAAGGGCTTCTGTACGGAAGCTCCAGCTAACTCTGGCAAGGATTCGTTTTCGCCTAGACGGAGGAAGAATCCTCGGAGAGTCTGGGTGCGACTGCTCGACCCGGGCTGCTGGCACGCAGCCGGGGGAAGGCGCCGCGTCCCGCACGGAGCGAGGGGAGTGCCGGGCGTGCCGAGAGGGCGCCGCGGGACCGGGGAGCTGCGGGACAAGGGGGCTGCTACCGCTCCGACTCTGCGGGAAACTGAGGCAGCGCCGCCGCCGAGCGCCGCGGCGGGAGCGCGGAGGACGCGGGAGGGAGGCGCCGCTCCTGGAGCTCCCCGAGGCGCCGGCAGCGGCACCGAGAGCGGCCGACGGACGGAGCGGCACGGGCGGGCAGCGGCGGCGCCGCTGGGCTTGCCCCGGTCCCGCAGCGCTGTCCCGGCAGGCGGCTGGGACGGCCGGACAGACAGACAGGTCCGGGGGCTGCTCCGTGAGTACGGACTGTTCAAGGAGGATGCTCAGCCCGCTGTCGCCGCCTGACACACCCAAGGCTTAGCGGGCTTCTAAAAACTAGGATTTTGTTGTCGAGGCGCATCTAGAGTATTTTTTAGGAAGTCGGGTGTTCGGAGCATTCAAAGCAAAGCGCGGCTGCGGCTGCCGCGCGGGTTCGCGGGGACAGCCTAAGGGCATCAGCCAACGCAGGTGTGCCGGGCACGGCTCGGGTGCACGCGTCCCGTGTGCGGCTGCGGACGAGCGGGATGTGCACGGGCTTGTGCGTCCCGATGGATCCCAGCGTTCAGAGGGAATCGCTCCGAACCCGGCTTTCCCACCAGCCCGCCCCGCCCAGCCGCTGCCCCGGTGCATAAAAGCGTGAACGATTGGCACCTTCGCGGGGAGCGCCGGGGCCTGGCCTCTGCCGCTCACAAGGGAAGCGCCGCTGAGAGCGGCCGCGCGCACTGCCCATCCCTGCACATGCCGGTTCGTCCCTATCCATCCCTGCCCATCCCTGCACATCCCAGTTCGTCCCTGCCCATCCCTGTCCATCCCTGTACATCCCAGTTCGTCCCTGCCCATCCCTGTCCATCCCTGTCCATCTCTGCCCGTCCCGGTCCGTCCCTGCCCGGGCCCGGGAGCCGCTGCCGCGGCAGCCGCTGCTCCCGCCAGGTGGCGCTGTTGCTCAACGGTGGCGCCGGGCCGGGCAGGGCGGGCGGGGCGGCGGCAGCTCCCGGGACGCTCCCGGGACGCTCCCGGGACGCGGGGCCGCGGCGGGCTCGGCGCGGGGCAGGTCCGTGTGCGCTCCGCGGCCGCGGCTCCCCCGCCGCTCTGCCTCGCCTAACTTTGTCTTTTCGCCTTTTCCGTCATCTCTCGGAGTTCGGACACTGTTACGGTCGGAGAGCCCCGCGGAGCGCCCGCCGCTGGCGGTCGCCGCCCGCTCGGGGCAGCGCTGCCCACTCGGCCCCGCCGGAGCGCCCCGCAGCGCCCGGCCCGGCTCCCCGCGCCCGCGGGGCGGGGCGGGGCGGGGCGCGCGGCGCGGCGCGGCGCGGGCGGCGATTGGCGGCGGCGGGTGACGGACGGGCCGGCCCCGCCCCCTTGGCAATGTCTAGCGCGCGCCGCGCGCCCCATGTAGGCAGTTATTCCGCTGGGATAGCGCGGCCGGAGCGCGGCGGCGGCATGGCCGGGGTCCCGATCTGCGCCCTCCTCCCGCTCCTCGTCGGCGTCTGCGGCGCCGTCACCGGCTCTCGGGTCTATCCCGCCAACGAAGGTGAGGCTCGCCGGCGGCCGGGCTGCGCGTTCTCCCGGCGGGGTGCCGGGGCGAAGTTCGGTGTCCCCGGGCGGGCAGCGGTGCTGTCCCGTCCCCTCCCCGCCCGGCCGCTCGCTCGCCGCCGGGACGGCGCCTGCCCCGCGCTGCCCCGGCCGCTCGCTGCCCGTCCGGCGGCCGCGGAGCTGCCGGAGCGGCGCTGCCGGGGCCGCCCGCGGAGCCGGCACAGGTGTCGCGGGGCGGAGCGGGGCGGCCGCCGCCTGCCCCGCGCGTCCCCCGCGCCGCCGCTGCCCCGGCCGGGCCGAGGCGCAGCGCTCCCGCCAGCGGCGCCGGGGCGGCCCGGGATCGGAGGGCGGCTCATGGAACCGGTTCTCCCGGGAGCGCTCGGCGGCTCCGCGCCGTTCCCCGCGGCCCGCTCCGGCCCGTTCTGCGGGACGGTCCGGCGGCGGCTCTGCGGGAGAAGCCCGCGGCCGTCCCGCGCCGTGGGCGTGCGGCGCCGGTCGCCCCGGGAGCCCGGCCCGACCTCTCGGTGCCTCGCCGGGGTCTGGGGAAGTGCCGGCTTGGAGCCCGTGGCTGCCGTGCGGGCGCGCTGTCCCGGGCGCTGCGGAGCCGGGACGCTCCGAGGGGCGCTCCGGCGTCTCTCGCAGGTGTGCCGGCACTCCGCCGCTCCCCTCCGCGCCCCGGAGCGGCTCCGGTGCGCCGGGAAACCAGCATGCCATTCCTCAGTGAGAGTTTCGAAGTGTTTCTAAGATATTGGCGCGTTCGGAAATAACATTTCATTTCAAGTGGAAGGTGGATGCGATGTGCGCCGCGCATATGGAAACGTTCAGGTAAACCATTTATTTTAGTATTGCCTTTTGGCAGCTGGAATTTAATCTCTTTTATTTGTACCTTTCTGCAGTTACCTTG